CTAGGATCTATGCCACAGTGGTGGGTTAGCCTAGCCCATCAGCAGGATGAGTACAGGAATTAAGGAACAAAGAAGACAAAAACTGATGGGCTACATGAGACAGAGAGATTGCTTAGCAGTTACCATCATGGGCAAAATAGACTCACCCTGGGCAAAATGAACTTAGTTTAATGCCAATTAAGATTGATATTTAATTGCTAATTCGGGAGGGGGGAAAGGCAGGTATTCACAGAACCCCCTTGCAGGATGAGTACAGGAATTAAGGAACAAAGAAGACAAAAACTGATGGGCTACATGAGACAGAGAGATTGCTTAGCAGTTACCATCATGGGCAAAATAGACTCACCCTGGGCAAAATGAACTTAGTTTAATGCCAATTAAGATTGATATTTAATTGCTAATTCGGGAGGGGGGAAAGGCAGGTATTCACAGAACCCCCTTCCCCTGCCTTTTTCACAGGCTCCACATCACTCCCGACTCTCCCTACCCCAAGCAGCACAGAAGCACGGAGCGTGAGGGGTTGTGGTCAGTCCATAGCAGCTCCTCTCTGACACTTCCTTCTCACACTTCCTGCCTGCACCAGCACAGGTCCTCTCCACAGGTAGCAGTTCCCTTAGGAATATCCACCTGCTCCGATGCGGGTCCTGCACAGGCTGCAGTGTGGATATATGCTCCAGTATGGAGTGATTCCTCTTTCTCCTCTTCTTCCTCCTCCTCTCACCTTGGTGTTCCCTGTGACTCCTTTTGTTCCCTCCTCCACTTTCTCTCCAGCCTTTTCTGCCCTTTCTTAAAAACATTTTCATGGAGGCACCACCACCTTGGCTGAGGGGCTCAGCTGTGCCCTGTGGTGAGTCTGTTGGGGCTGGCTGGAACCAGCTGCCTTTGGCACAGGGCAGCCACTGGTCTCCCCTGGAAGAGGCCCTTGCAGCCCCAGCTGCCGGCACCTGGGCACCAACATCGAAACCAGCTCCCTTCTTTCCATTTTCTTTGAGTAGCTACTTGAATTATTTGGTCGACAGCCATACCATCCTCTTTTGGATTAGGCAGGCAGAGCACTCCGGAGTTAACTGCCAGTTACTGCAGGTAATTGAAAGACACTTAAGCTGGAAGTCAAGACTTCCAGTGGGTGGCTCTTAAAGGATCAGAGTGATATTTTGAAAACCAATGGCTTGGAAGGGATTTATGGATCAGAAGCTGGAGGAAGGTTTAGAGGGGTCAGTGAAACACAGGGTCAAGAGGGGACAGGACAAGAAGGAGACAAAAGTCTGTAGGAAAACAAGGCATTCTGCTCCTGCTGCCCCCGGTTGGGAAATGTGAGCCTTGAACCCTGCCTTTGGTAGAGGCAGCAACAGCAGCTGCTCAGCCTAACCCTAACCTATCCCCATCCTCACCAGCACCAGAGGCAGAATAGGTCGGACATGTTCCTGTGTATTATTGAGACATTATTGATGACATAATATGGTATTGCTTGAAAAGTTCATTGCAATTTGGTCCTGACATTCAGTGCTGATAAATTCAGTAAGTATCAGACTGAGCAATGCCATCACTGATACCATATATGGTTGAACATGCAAAAGATGCAGCATTTTTATAACAAATTTTGCTCCTCAGTGTTTCCAATATGAGTCTTTTACAAACTTAGAACTACATATTTGCCTCTAAGGAAAGTGTATTTCTCCTTTGCATCCCAAAATAGCTCCGTTTTCAGCTGAGTTAATGGAGATAGATATAGATATATAGATATATATATATATATATATATATATTAGATTTCTGCATAGACCACATTGAAAATGTAACCTGAAAAGGTTATATTGTAAAACCATGATTATCTGAAAATAATCAAAGTGGAATAACATATATATCTTCAACTTGGGCAACAGCCATCATAGGTTTTGTGATATTAGAAGCGTGGCCAAAATCTGTGATATGAAAAACAGGCCCTGTTCCCTGTCTATGTAAACATACAATATCCAAAGAGAATCTGATAGACATCAGTAGAAATTTGATCGTGACTCGTTAGAGCTTGTTCCTCAAATATGCTAAGGCATGAATCTCATTCTCTGTCAAATAGACTTGATCATTTTTAAATTAACTTTTGAAATATGATTTTAACTGTAATTTGAAAGTACGGTATGCCTGACTATCACAGAAATTTTCTCAGGGAAAAGCAGACGTTGAACAGAGGAATCCTTGAGGCCCAGGAAGACTCTCTTGCAGTTATTTCTAGATCTTGGTAATTGAGATAATACTGGTTAATCATCACTAATAAAAATGGATAAACTTCCATCAGATGAGTGGACTTATCCTGACTTAATTAGCTAGTGATCTGGCTTGTGCACATTTACGGCCTTTATTCCATTTGCTAGCAAAGACTAGTATCTTATTTGATAATAGTTACAGTATCAATGAAAACACACAGTCCAGACTGAGTGTGATGTTTCTTGCAAGTGGCTGAGAGTATGAAGTAATTTTCCAAACATGAGGCCTAATGGTTTTTGACTAGGCTTATGTACAGCATAAAATTAATCATTCATCATGGATAAAAAAAGTAGTTTAAAAGCTCTCTCTTTTGTTTGCTTTAATATTGGAAATCTCTTTGTGCATACAGATATCAAATTTGGAGCTGCACAATTTGGTATTCTGTATTTGAAGTGTGTAGTAATAAGTCACAGTAATATGATTTTGGTTTCTGCTTTTTTTTCTGTCTGAGAATTTAATAACAATGAATAACAAGCAGCAAATGATCCTTTCACATTGAAGTGCCCTTCTTTACACAGAGGAATCTTTGGGCAGTTCTTCTAATAGTAATTAATAAGGGATAGCAAAAGAGCATAATCAGCAGTCAAAAATTAATACTAGAGAGTAGCCTATATGGACTATTTGTGAATTTCCTGGAAGAGGAAATGTAGCAGTTTTTCTACCAATTTTCCTTCTTCTTTCTAGTACCTTTCAAATTTACACTTTTCTGGTACACTTTTCTCTGGTACATCTCATTTTTTTGTGTGTGAAAAGGACTGAATTATATTGATCTTTTGAGTCCTGGGGTGGGGGAGAAGATATACCAGTTTCCATTTTCAAAGGTTGTCTTTTTTCACTTGTGCCTGGAAAAAGACTCTGAATTTAGAAACTGAAGACATTGATTGTGACTTTCAACTATCAGAGCAGAATTGAACTTGCTTTGCTTGAGGAAGAAAGTTGAAACAAAACCACCACCAGTTGTAGGAAAAAATATTCTTGATATGTTTGGTAACTGCAGGAATGAGTTTACATACTTGACAAATGAGTAGGATGCAGAAATGCCCCCAGAAAGGAAGACAGCAGGGTCTACTGACTAATTCTTAAGTGCTTTAAATTTGTTTTAAAGGTGCAAACCCTATTATATTAGTTATCAAAATTATCAGATCCAAATTATTCCTGGGGAAGCAAAGGGAATAAAGGGCATCAATTAACAGGGAATAAAGTTCTCAGTTTACCACCATCCTTCATAGGTGATATTTGTCTCCAGTATCCATAGTTCCACAGACAGAGCTCCCATCATCAGGGTCTTTAAATGAAAACAGATTACTTTATGAGCAGCCCACTGTCACTGCTGTTTGGAAGACAGTTATAGGCTATATCTAGAAATGGCCATGTTTTATCAGAGGTCAGATTAGAGCTTCCGGCATTGATATCTATGCACTTTATAATACTTTCTGCAGAGACTATCAGGGAACAATACATGAAAATACTAATTTTTGTATTAAAATGTATAGCAATGTCTCATAAAGTATATCTTGAGAATGCATCCAGCTAAAGCAGTGTTATCAAATTGAATATTTTCAGCTATTTTTAAACCCATTTTCAGGTATTATTCTTTGTAATAGGGTACCTTGAATATTTACTTGAAACATGCCCAAGTCCATAGAAAAGAGCAAAAGCAACCAGCTTCAATTTATTCTCCTCCACTTTTCTCTTGTTCCACGCTATCCACCTCTCCAAGATCATTTTGTTTGCTAATAACAGGACTGGTGGACACCCTGCTGCGTGGCTTTTGGGAAGGGCATATGTCACCAAACAAACACAGAGATGGAGTTTCATGCTGAAGTCAAGTGCTTACAGAGAATAAACTTCTACTGTATACCTTTTGTTTCTTACTTTTGACAGCATCTTCTTGTAACTGCCTGTTTCACAAATATAATTTTCAAGTTGACAGTATCCTTCTACTTTGGAATTTAGGGGATTTCTAGTATTTAGTTTTGATTCTGTTGGTTCATTCCTTTCACGTTACTAAGATCAATGAAAAAACATGAGTACAGATGAAATAGTTCCTTCAGCTGTGGAAATGTCATAGAAGATTGCATTGCCATAACAAAACAGAGAGCAAAATGAGAACTGTTACTTATGACTGTTACACTGATTTAGTGCTAAATTTTGATCTAAAGGTAGTTTCTGCCATGTTCAGTAAATTCAACGCAAGAGGCTTTGCTAAGTAAATTTTTTCCCTTTATAACATTAGATCCTGGCAAATTTGTCATTTAAACAGTTTTTCTGATTGAAACAGATCCTTGTGCCTGTTGAGGTGAATAATAAAATTTCACTTCACTGGAGGAAGACAAAGCATAAATTTGTGAGATGCAAAGTGGTGTGTGGTTTAAAGTTAAGAGCAAAAAGCTGCTATGGATTTTTCTTCCTTGGACAGCATTCTTTTGAAGTTGTCTTGGGATTTATAGGCATGCTTTTGCTATTTTTTTTTTAAATATATTGACTAGTCTTTATACTTCTATCAATCAGCCTCAAGTAATTCAACTAGAAACAATAATGTAACTTGATATCAACATCTGTTCAGGTCAGCTGGTTCTAGCAACATCCTGTCCATTTTATATTAATAGTTGTTTTTATCTTCTGTGCACATATTTAAGTCAATAGTTACTAAACTAGTTTTGCAGATTATGACAGGGAGTTTACTTATTTGCTGCCTTGTCTTGATAATTGTGTATTGATTTCTTCTTTGTATTTAGGATATGATGCTCCAGCTTTTTCGGGGACTGGATTTTCTGCATTCACATCGTGTGGTGCATCGGGACCTGAAACCCCAAAATATCCTTGTAACCAGCAGCGGGCAGATAAAGTTAGCTGATTTTGGCCTTGCACGAATCTACAGTTTTCAGATGGCTCTTACCTCAGTGGTAAGTTTTTGGAGGCTCTTATTTTTCTTTTAATGCAGCAGTGTGCTTTACTCTCTCTGTTCCTGGCTTTTTAGCGCATGTTATAACGCTGCTTCTAAAACCATTCCTGCAATTGAAGTTACTTGTGTCTCCAAAAACAATTGCTTTACAGCCATGATTGAAGTGGTGGTGGTTACTTTGTATAAGTAATCAGTTACTGATTACTGATTATAAATTACATCATGACTAATCACTGAAAGACACATATGTGGTAGCTTTCTGAAACTCCATCAGTCTAGCTTCTGTTGTGATATTTACTTCTTTTGAACATTGAGCCAGCCAGGCAGGGTGAAAGTTTCTGAAGTACCTGTTTTAAGATAAAACTCTTGCTGATGCCAGGTAACTTGCCTGAAAAAATACACAGATACTTTTGAAAATGCCACACTGCCATGCCTCTGATTTTCCATCTCTGTGAATACGGTTTTGGTGCTTGCTCCCATATGTTACTGAATGATTCTAAATAGGCCTGTGCTGGAGGCAGCTCAAGTGGACCTGGCAGCTGAAATCACAGCCATTTCCCAAGCTAGCTGTTAAAGAGGACCTTCAGTATCTGTGGGTCCCCTGTCACTGTTGCCCCTCTCCCAGCAGCTCTCCTGATTGTCTTTGGCTCAGATATTAGATAGCTCCCAGAAGGTCTGGCCCTCTCCTGCATTAATGCTGGCACAGAAGCCCTGCCAGTTCCTTGCTTTTTGACCCCATTTCCATGCTTGCTGGCCCTGCCCCCAGGATCCGCTGCTGTTAACTTGGCACAGCATCTCTGAATTACATTGAAGAGTAACTGTGCTGCATGCATGTTGGATGTCATTTGGTTTTGTTGCCTGCTCTTGAACTTTTTTCTTTCAATTTTCTATTCTGAGTATCACAACTTCCACATTACTGTCACTTATGTGAAAGACAGGGAAGGGAGAACAGCTGAGAAAAGAAACTGAAAGGAGTCCACTCTGCATTTTACATCATATTGTAGAAACTAGCCTGGCTCAAATTGATGAAAAGCAATCTGTTGTTATTATTAGTTACTGTAAGAGTATTCCCATCATTGTGTAATGTAACTGACATCCTGGGTTCCAGCTTCAGTGTGAATGAAGGCAGGAAGCAACAGAAAATTATATCATCATCCTGCTAAACAGGAAAGTATCCTCATCACATAAAGCATAGGTAAACTTGTGTTTTATCATTGCCTGTATGGTGTAGCCTAATCCAAAGCTGAAAGGAGTTCTCTGTTGAGGTCATTGAGGACTGATCATGTCGTAAATCAAAACAGAGCTTTGAAGAAAAGGAGAGAAATGTTCCTGAATTGCTGTAATTTTTCACTTCAGCTATCAGTGAATAAATTGAAGCATGTTGTAAGGGTTCCAACAGGGTATTTTTTAAAAGTTCTGTGTAAGTTGAGGAAAAAATATTTACAGAAATAGCAGGAGTTTTTCTGTGATCATGTAGCTTGCATAGGAAGGAAGGTCAAAAAAGCCAGAAATAGAGTGCATCTACTGAGGCAAAAATGCACCAAGACCTGCTTGTAAGAGAACATTGCCAGAACTGCTACGCAGAGGATGTACAAATGTTCAACTGCCTAGTACTTGCATGCTATAGATCATGTTTCAAAACCCACTAGCTAGTACACTTAGTACTGTTGTGAAGAAGAGTTGTTCAGTGTAAGGGGTTGTCCACATGCAAGTTTGTACTATGTTCACACAAACATTCAACTGTCATTACAGCTATGCCAAAGAGTAGCAACAAAATTGAGTTATTCAGTGAGCCATGCTAAATAAAATACATGGGCCTAGGCGCAAATAATTACATTCTCACTTAGAATTTAGTGTATTATTATTTTCATATTTAAAAAGAACAGCTCTGACCATGGCTTTTTTAAGTTAAAAATTTATTGGTTTCAAAGCAGTGTTTAGCACCTTTAAAATTAACTTTTGACTGGGTATGTTGAAACCTATAGGGGAGTGTTGAATACAATGCGATGATGTGGTATGGTTTTAAATGTCAGTCTTCATTGCACCTACAAACTGAGTGCCAGTTAGAAACTTTTGCTAAATGTGTATCAGCTGACATGGGCCTTCCTTTTTCCTTTTCTGAATGTGACTTTTACCTTTGGCTAGCTGCTTTGGTGTGCAAGTTCTTATTTTTTTTTTCCTCCATTAAAACTCAGTACAAGAAACAAAACTTTAAAAAACCCAAACCTTCTGGGTGTTAAACATAAAGATATACTTTACCATTCCCAAAATAGTATAAATTGCAGTTCTTCACCAGGCAGTGAGTAAACTTTCATTGACTTCAGCAGG